AATTGGGTGCGGCAGGAGGCCCTGGCTGGTCACTAACTGGTTTTGCAAACTGCTAGCAAGTGGCAGCACCCTTCTCTGCGTAGCACAAACGCTGCGTTGCTTCCAGTGCTTCACACACGCAAATGTATGTGAGGTGTTCTATCTTAATGTTCTATGTTGTGTGTGTGTGACATGTGTGTGTGTGTGTGAGTGGGCGCGCCTGCTGCAACTTGGCTTTCATGGTGCACGGTGCTGTGCTCATCGCACCCCCTCCAACCTTTATGCTTCTTTATGTTTATTGCTACCCCGCTCCAGGAATTTGTCATTAATGCTGAAGTTCCTACCATTACCATGGCCATAGTCCAACCTCTCCAACAGCGGCCTAATGGATACAATTTCCACGCTCTTGTTTGGTGCAATCATACTCTTCACCAGCGCTGTATCCTGCCTGCAGCCCGTGCTGGGATATCTTGAAGCTCATCACCTTGTTACTGTAAGTGAACTGTGGGCCTGACCATTGATCTGTTCTATTGGAGTACTGCAAGTCACTGTACGCCTTGTCAAATCTTGACATTATCTGCTTAATTAGAAGCTTGTAGGAACATGTTCTGCCCAGAACATCGTCTCAATTGGCTGGGGGGTGACTGTGAGTGATCCATAGTGTGCAGATAATAAAATCCCAGGTGGAATCCGGGCCAGAACATAGTATGTCTGCGAGTAACAAACAAGTTTCGTAAATTGGCAACCACCATTCTGAGTCTCTCCTACATGCCATCTGAGCAAGCGGCGTCTTTGAGGCGCGTGACCTGAGTTTGAAGGTTCCACAACTATTGTTCCCAATTGGGATAGTCACGGCCCAGGATTGAGGCTCACTGCCCGCCTCTTGCAGCTAGGAGGCTTAAGTCATGAACTCCAAGAGTTGGGTCGGTACGATATCTGATTGAGCCAAATGGCTATGACATTCACCTGTGCAATAGTGTTTTGCATGAGGCGACAAGGACATGTTCGACTTTTGTTGCTGCAGGACCGTAAACACGGTACCTGAAAGCATGCAGAAGAGACAAACGGAAGCTAAGCTCCAGGCTTTAGATCCATATGTATATATGTTACGACCGCATCTTGAAAAACTGTGTGTGGTACATTGTCAATTGTACCTGCAATGCAAGTCCTCGGACAGCCATCCAATCCATGAACATAGCACTGATTTTGTAAGCTGGCTGCCAACCAGTTTTGCCTAGTTAACGATCTGACGAAAATGTTTCTAGGCTGCTCGGATGGATGGCAATGGGACCCCACAGCTGAGGAAACAAACTCCTTTTTCAAGACTCACGAGTGGAGCGTGCCACCAATGTTGGTGAATTGGACAATGGCACCTTTTCGTCCACGCCTCAGAATGGACATTGACATTGCGCTGGTAAGATCAGACCTTATTATCTCTCATGAGATTACACAGTACGTGTGCGTTTGGAAGGAAGCACCTCCTGGATGAGTCTGCTTGCCTCGTGAATCCAAATGAATCAGGAGGCAAGGGACAAGATAGGAAGCTGGAGGGCACTACATGTTCGAAGCACTGCTTGCTCTGACAAACTAAGCATTGAAAGGGCTGCTTGTTATATATGTTCTTTAGAACTCCTGAAGTACCACGTAAGAAACAGTGATGCCAGAGAGGCAACTGCAGCTGGGACCTCCAACATCAGTCCTCTACAGCAGGAGCTGTGAGCTCTCCAATGTGGTCGTTCACCTTGACCTCAAGCAAAAACTCTAGAGCGTACTGGAAAATGTTGAAAACGCAGCCACTGCAACATGCTGCTTGAATGTTGTAAGGTACGACGGCACAACCTGAGATTCTCTTTAAATGCAAAATTCGAGCTGGGGCTTCAGCTGATTGGGCCCCATCAGGGTTTTGCTGCAGCATGACTTTCGAAGGCGCTGTGGTTCCCAGGTTGGGCATCTTGCCAACCTAGAGATGCGGGATGATGCGGCCTACTTGGGGTGCGTTCTAGAAGGGAGGGGTATGGGAAGGAAATAGATCCTAAAAAAGGAATTAAAAGTACAGGTGTGAACGGTTGGGGAGGGCCATCAACTAGATTTGAGCAGTGAAAAAACACAGGTAGGTTCAAGAGATGAAAAAGGCAGGAAGATGCAGAGGTGAGAAACGATAATGAAAGCTATAGAGTCGTGATGAAAAAGGAAGTGAAAACGTGGAGACGCATCTTCGCTGCACATGAGTTCTGAGTGCATATGTAATACAGTTGATGATATGTCATGCTATATGTATGTGTGCACTTCTGCTTCCTGCAGGCCACTAGTCATTAGAAAGGTGGGGGATGAGAGCACTCTTGTCCAAAGGCTTCAACTTCTTCTGATCCTGCCTTCGCCATTAAATTGTTCAGGTAGTCCTTCAGGACATTGTTTTCCTCTGCTCGAGATGCAAACGAGCACAACAGCTGGTCCATGGTTTAGTATATCACTGTCATCTACTTGTTGAGGCCAGAAATGTTTGTTGTATTTGTGCATTCACTTTGTATATGTGGGGTTGGTAATTGGTTGCTGCAAAGTACCAAACACTTCCCCCACAACCCCTGCATGTGGTTTCCTGGAGATACCACTGTATCATCGGCGCGGGTCTTGGTATGCAGTGGTGCTTGTGGCTCTCATGGTCAACACAACACTTGTCAGCATCAGTCCTCTCTCAATTGCGTGTTCTCACCTTTCACGGTGTCCACCTGGCTCGATCTGCAAGAAGCTTAGGTATTGCTTCCAAACACGCGCTTTCGATCAGGCAACCTGCCGTTCCTAAAGATTGAACACTACGAGTAGCATTTAAAAATATTGCCGCGCCTTTTCCGAGAGTTCCGCGAGGCCTTGTTGGAGCTCTACAACCTCCATCGACACTCAAGGAGCCCATGAGGACAGACAAATCTGGGGCTTTGCACCAACACAGTCAATCTGCAAATCCACCGCCGGCCTTCTGCATCAGCTCTTCTCTGGACAGGCCATCAAAGCTTGACATTCTTCATGCACCTTGAAATGGCTGGACATGCTCTGCGGATCAAAACATGCTGGACAATGTCTTGCAAGATTTCAAGCGGTTTCAGAGGATCATAGTCCAGAATTTGTTTTTGAGCCTTCTTTCTGCCCGTCATTCACTTGAACCATTGTATACTCTCTTTGTTTAAAAGCAGTCAAGACCAAACCCTCTTTCAACATGTCCTTTGTATAGATTGAGATGAGGCTGGCAGCGTGCTGTTGGATCTTGACGTGCTGCTTTTGCTGCAAGTTGTTCATTGTCACCTCAATCAGCCGAGGATGGGACCGGTCCCTGACACGGCCCTAACTACAAACTACTGTAAACTACCTATGCCCAATGAGTCAAGATCCCTTGAGCCAACAGCTGCGTGCCAAGAAGTCCATGGAAAGACTTTGTACAGTGTAGATTTCGCATTTTCCATGGCCACCGATGCTCAGGAAGCCTTTTCATCCCACCCGGCACTCCTCAGACTGCCATGGCCGACCCCAAAGCTGTGGGGGGAATGTGAATGAGCTACCATGAGCTACCTAGATTCGAACTGCTGCCACATGGCCAAGCTCAAGTTGACAGGCTAGTATGAGTAGTCTTGATTGAAAAGGTCAAGGTCAAGGTGATCGGCTTTCGGAACCTTACAAACTGACTGTCCAACCAATGAACTGGTTAAGGGAGCGCCATGTGGGCCAACCAGCTGAATTGCTTGCACTTGAAGTTGTAACTATCGAATTCCTTGCAAACATCCAAGCCTACTGAGCCAGTCCATGCTGGACTTGCTGCCGGGCCCTCAATCCTTGTTCAATGTGCACGACAGCGGATGACTTGGATCTGCAACAAAGGCCTCCCGCGCCATCATCTGATGCAACTCTTCACGCACCGCTTGCATGATCTCAGTGTGCATCCGGAAGAGGTGCTTACCAACGTACTCCGGCCCTTTGAAGAATTTCCCACAGTCCTGACATCTTGTCAACATCTGAAGCATTTTGGAACACTGGTGGATGCTTCAAACACGCCTACTGGTCACCTACTTGTAAAATTAGCACCGCAGGCATCGCTGTTTCAAGGTATGATCCTTGCACTGGAACTTTTGCTCTGTCACAGCAACGGTTTTCTCACGACATACTTGATCAAAGCGTACTCGAACTTTTGGATCGGCATGACCCAGTACTGCCGGTCGAATCAAAGATGTGGTGCTCAGGAACTCCTGCAGTTCCACAAATCAATCGGATTCTACTAAATAGAGGGAAGGTCAACCTCTTCTCTCTTCTGCTTTGTCTTGGACTCTCAATGACACTCACCCCTTACTCTCGCACAGCTAAGGCGAGTTCCTTGATGCGTTTCTCATGGCCCTTTGCCCAAATCTCTTGCACTGGTTCGTAGTAAGGCTCGCGGACAACTGCAGCACCACAGCTGTCCCGCAACGTCCACTGGTTTTCGCCCCACTTGCCAGCATAGAAGCAAAAATTGTGCACGCGACGGAGGTAAATCACCTGAAGATCCAACTTCCTCAACAGCTGCAAGCAAGATCGAAGAGAACCCTGAAAAGAACAGAAAGAACGAATCGCTCCAACTCAGGGTCAAAGTCCATGAATCTAGGCATCCAGTTCAGTAGTTAAGGGAAAGTAATGACATCTCCCACCTTACCTCCCTTCTCTGGATGACATTCTCATGTAGTGTCACCAACATAACACGTGTCCAACAAAAAGGTCACACTGTCTTGAGGAGTGTCTGTTCAGCAGATCCCTGGAAATGGAGAAGTTCTGCAGTGAAGTCCTGGCGGATCTCGTGTACTTTATCCAAAAGCTGGATCACCTGGGCCACCATACGTAGTCAGAGCAGTTTTGGGAGCAAACACAAGACTGGAACAGTTCCGTTCCCTGACTACCCTACCCATCATGTTTTGGAATCCATGAAGTTCTCGTGGCTCATGACCAGTTCGTTTTGACTGCACCTTGATCTCCCAAATAAACCATGGCCCACCTCGGCAGACAGTGAGAGATCTTTCGCCAAGCGCTCAGGCGACGACATCTCAGCCGGCAAGACCAGGGCTGAAAGCTCCATCGGATCCTGTATTGAAACTTTGGCCACACCATTGGTCAGGCCCTTGTTGCTCAAGAGCGTATCCGCTTTATTTGCTATGACCAACAAGGCTTCCTTCGCTTCCTGGCAGGGAATCTCAAATGATAATGATACAAGAAGATCCAATCAAAGGTTTCAATCTTGCTCACTTAGCTTGCCCCCCCTTCCTGCGGACATGAGAAGCCGACGTAGAACGTTCGGCTCAGGTCTGCAGATGGTGCACTCCAAGCAGCCTCTGCAAAGCCACCAGAGTCTTGAAGAGCCTCCACCACTTCCTGAAAGCCAGCTTGAGAGACCCTGCCTGAGGAGCTTCCAAAAAAAACTCAATTCCGGACCAGCCTCCTGTGTGTTGCAGTCAGGTTAACGATCGGTCACTGCTATTTGCCCGTGGCAAGGAAGCCTCAATCGCAAGCCTCAATCTGACTACAGACCTTTACTCTGGGCTTCCTTGTGGTCTAAACTCCTCTCAGAGCCCCGGTCAAAGCTTCAGCCTCCCAGCTTTTCTAACCCAAGCTTCCCAAACGCTCACAGCACATGGTAGGCCGCTGATCATCAAGGTCCCAATGTTGGCATCAAAGGCAAACTCTGGGGCCTGTTGATGCCCTGCCACAGGGCAAGTGGCCTCGCCATTGGGCTGCGCCAATCGCAAGGACAGGTCCTTGTACTTGCCCTCCCTCAACTCTGCCAAGAAGCCTTGGTTCAAAGCTGTACAGTAAGATGTTTGTACATTGTCCAAACTCAACAATGTGCTATGTTGCTGTTAATCTCAAGTACCTTGCAACCCGGATACTCTGCGCTCTCTGCTGTGCCATACTTTGCCGCCACTCGTAGGATCGCAGCTGGCTCACAGGATGGTAAAGGTCCAAGCACAAGCCAGTGTTCTTCAGTCGGTCGAACTCCCTGGTTGCCGAGTCCAGGTTGCAGGGGGAAGACCATACTAAATGGCAAGCTGGCAAAAGAACAAAAGGTTAAAAGCGTCGTCCCTGTTCAGTGCAACAACTCCGCAAACTTTGCAGTGGCACAACATGACGCAACAGCAAACTGCCTCTGGGCGAACTCCTGGCAATAGGTTTTGAAGGCTGCCACGCAAGTCTCCGGACAAGCTCCCGCGTCACATTGTCTCAACATGAACTCGCGAAAGTCCATTCTGTGGGGAGGAGCTCCAATCTCGGTCGCCGGGTCCTGCGCGTGGAGGGCATGGAGCAAGACTGTCATAAGAATAAGAACATGAATCACAAAACAATGAATCCTGCGAATCCGTCAATCTAATTTCAATCCCGCATTTGATTCACGGCAAGTTTCAGCGACTCTGTATATACCATATAGCCCAAGCTGCTCAAAAGGGTTCCAAAGTCCCAGTCCTTCACAGCCTTCACATTCTCTTTAAGACTCTTCGCATCTGTAGTCTTCGCGTCCTTGCTCTCTACCTCGGGTGTCTCGCGTCTGCGGGGTCCCTCTGTCTTGGAGGCAGAGCGCGCTGAGCGGGAGCGGCTTCGCCGCCGGCGCCTCAGAGGGCTCTGCCAGCGCTGCGCGCGGCTCGAGGAGGAGCGCCGCGAACGACGATGATGACGGCGGCCACGGCGCGAGCGTCGCGAGCGGCGCGAGGGAGAGCGGGGGCGCCGGCGGAAGCTGCAAGGTGGCCCTCCTTGGGGTTGGCCCTTGCCACCTGAGGATGAAGTTCCAAAAGTGCTAGGGTTCTGTGAAACTTATACAGTTATATACTGTCATACTGCGCTTTCAAAGCGTCCTGCTAAAGTCTGCTAAAGGAAAAGACATCGCTGTTTGCCAATGGTTGTGACGAGATGCTGGACTTGCCCTTCCCATCCCTCTTTCGCAGCATGGGATTGTCATCAATCTCCCGGCCATCTGGGTGCTTGAACCAACAGTCTACTCGTGAGCAAGCCCGTCCGTGCCAGCAAATGATCTCCCGTTTCTTGTTCTTTGGCACAGCCAAAGGGGAACGACTGCGACTGCATTTGCCTAATGATGCAGCAGATGGAGAGCGGCTTTGCTTCCTCGATTGCTTAAAAGCAGTCCCCCTTCTCTCCAGGTCCGATTGATTCAAATCAAAAGAAATTGAAAGAGGTCCAAATTTATCCAAATTTGGCATGGCCAAAAGCCATTAAAAAACAGCAAGCTGCGCACTCTCTTTCGACTCGGACTTCTCGTCATCCTTTTCCGACACATCCTCGCTTTTCACTGAGGTCTCGTCCGGAACCGCCGTGTCCTGCTCCACCTTCTCAACCACGTCAGCAGAGGCTGGCGAGTCCGACATATTCCGTGGTCTTTGAGTGTTGGAGTGTTGCAGCTCGAGCCCAAGTTGCAGCTTTGCATGGCAATGTTCAGGCATTCTTTTCAGTCACTTGACTGAGAACATAACTTGACTGATAACAAAATTAAGTATCATACTTATAGAATCCACGCAAAAATGATACCAAAGAAACAAACCAAACCACTTCAAACCCAAACACGTCACTGGACAACAACTTCCAAACCAATTCCGTTGTTCCACTCACTCCAGCTTTTCATGCGTTTCAAGTTCAGGCTACAGTCAGAGACATGGCTGATGGCTGATTTGCATCTTGTCCACAAACTTCACTGAAACTTGATTCCCAAGTGCGCCGCCTTTTCGACCACTCTGCGACATGCACGGTGCCATGTTCCATGGGAGCCGGGCGATCCAAAGACCAGGCCGTCATGTCGAGGTCATATCGAGCACATCCTGGCCGTCTACGCCGCATACGGTCTCAGTCTCCGGCCTTTCTCGGGCAATGCCTCGCCCAGATCAGATTGCAATCAATTCCATCAAGTTGAACTTGTCAAAACCTGAATTCATAGATATTCGATGATATGCATGTGTTTATGTAACTTACATAGGTTCAACTCGAGGATGATTCTGAAAGCCAAACCTCTCGTCATCTGGCCGACCCGGTCCTCACCCATCCTGCCACAGGCTTCACTTCCTTGCGTAGGAGAGCTGCAACCTGGCTATAAAATGCTATAAATGCAGGGCAATATCAGTGGCACCATTCGATTTCAGACTCCAGGTTTCTGCATAATATATGTATATACATAGTCCGATGTAGGAAGCCTGTCTCTGGTGCATCACAGCTAACTTGTGCAGTGTGGTGCTTTTGTTGTGGCTGTGTGTCGCCAAGTCGAGGAGCCCAGCTGGCCCAGCCTCACATCCGGAGTCATCTCGAAGCTCTGAAGGCCTTGCATGGCCATGCCAGCTTGGTACCTTGCAAGGGTGTAGGCTCCCAACCAAGTTGCAGAATGACTTAGGAGGTTATGAGTGTCTCAAAACGCTATAAAGAGCTTTTTTATATGTATATAGTTCATGTGTGTCAATGTTCATGTCGTACACTTTTGCACAACTGGAAATAAATACAAGGATACTGGGAATGGAATGCATGCGAATTATTCACTTGACAAGAAAGAAACATCAAGCAAGGAGGTTGCTGGATCCGCTTTGTGCTGCTACTTCGGTTGTGTGTCTGTCGGACGGAATCCTACAGTATTTCGATAAGCTACCGAAATCTTACCAATGAGGGAGCATAATACAGTATCGAGAGTCAAAGGTCGCTGGTTTGCGCCTTTGTCGATTTCGACCGTTTCAAATTTGGATCTACCATTCTAACCAGCGACTTGTGCGACGAGATCCAAGGATGTCAGCAACAAGGTGTCTCATTTCAAGTCTGGTTTGGAAGAAAGTGCGAATTCTGCTTGGAAATGCACATCGTCTAGACACACACACACACACAACTGCTTCTCTGCATTGCGGTTCACCTGCACAATGCAAGGATCGGTGTATGCTCACAATATTCTCTGTATGCTCACAAGCGTCCGCCACCTTTAGGAAACAAGTACAGTACAGTACATTGCTCTCACAAGCTCTATTCAATTCCCCTCTCATGCAGTCACTGCGTTCCTTCCCGGTGTTCTGCAACTTAGGCAGGGAATCTACCGAATGCCGCAAACACATTAATAACACACCTGGAGGACTCTGATTTTCCTTGAATGAGATCTGGCAGTGCAAGCAACTACCCTCAACTGCCCATTGGCTCAAACGGAAATGACTCACATGGATTCAAAACAAATCGATTGGGCACTCATTCTGGTAGTCCGCAAAGGCCACATTTCGTCCAGGAATAAGCCGCACCTGGAGACAAAAGAGGTGGAGCCCTGTGCTCTAAACACATTTAAAACTCTTCTAAATACACTAAGCTGCATTCTTCCTAAACCAGCTTTCCAGTCTGGGTCCTTGTACAAACTGTCTCGCTGCTTCCCATTGGAAGTGCGAGCTATGGCCTCTTGGAAACCAGGGTACTGTCGGAAGAGCATCGACAGCATGGTGTCCGTCGCCTGCCGCACTTCATTCAAGGTAGTGAAGGCAGTCTGGTCCGCTTTCAGGAAGCGCTCAATTCCAAGTCACAGGGCTGCTACTGGCAAATCCAAAGATCAAGTGTTGAGGCGCTTTCCAAGTCAGGTTGTTAATTACATACAGCAAACCTGCTCTGCTATTCTATACCTTGCTTGACCTGCTGAACATACAAGTCATGACATGTAAAAAGCAAACTGCGAGAAGTCAACGTATTCGCATGGGCGGCTGTCACATGTTTGTATATTTGGTCGCAGTGACCCTCCTTTGGAGCTCAGAATGGAGCTCTTAATATATCTGCACATGTTTAAACACATCGAGACAAAGTCCAAGCCCAATAAACTGACATGGTGGACTCTGGACTGCATCTCGCATACTGGCGGCCCATGTCCCTGCAGATCCTGCCCAGTTTAAGTGCTTCAGTGGTCATCGCCTCGGGAGGAAGGTTCTCCACAAAGAGAGTACGATTTGGCCTTAGACGGAAATCCCAAATGAGCTCCAAAACTGAGAAAAAGCCACTCGAACGCTAGATGACCTGAAGGCTCAACAAATTTAGCTGCACTCTCCTTGCCTCTGCCTCTCTCTAACCAAGGACAGCACTCTGCTGGCTTTCCAGCAGTGGCAGAGGCCTCAAAGCAGTCTTGTGGAGACAAAAGTTTGGTAAAAAGATCGAAGCAGTTGAAACGCGCAAACATACAAGGTCCAAAAGTGCACTCGCATGAAACCCCAACGGCAGGCACCTATTGACTATTGATGCTCTATGTGGTTGGCCATGTTTGCAAGCTGAGCCAGCTACTGATTTTGTGGATGTCTGATTTGGATTCCAACCAATGCGGTCCTGCAGCCCCGTGCAATTCGTGCTGGTACAATCCAGCGAGTCCAGCCCTATCGTGCTAGCTGTGCAATAATTGCCTCAACATGCCTCGACAAACCATGAACTGCCTCAACTCCCTTGCATAACATCCCCAGAGATTGACCAATCTGTCGATCTGAGATTCATGTCTGCCTCCTGGCTTTCCAAGCCAACAAACAAAACCCTTCCAGGCTTCCAGGGCCTTCAGCATGTCTTCCGTTTTCCATCTGTCGAAGTCTCAGTCTATGGATCGGAGGCTGCTCCCTCATTCGCAAACCATTCCAGGAAGGACCCAAGGACAATGGCTTTTCAAACGCCAAGCAGTGCCAGCCCAAAACCTGATAATGGCACGCTTGCTCTTTGCTCGTCTCTACATGTCCAGAGGTTTGCACCACAGGGGGGGTATTTCTTCTGATCATTCCTTGGGGACTGATCCCATAAAAAAAGGAAGAGGGAGCATTCCATTTGTGCTACGATGATGCAGGAAGCAGCCAGGGCTCAGCTGGCGTCTCGTCACCCCATATGGATGGAGCTTCACTCCTGTCACAAACACACTGGCTTGGATCATGCATCTGACTTGCATGTTGTACCTGACTAGGTTGACTAACACTTAGGATGCTCTAAATAGTGGGCATCACAAAATGTTCTTCAAAAAATCTCAAAAAACACAGCAGTCACGCAGCATTGTGCTGACACCCATCCCCTCGCCTTTCGGGCTTGGGATCCGCCTGCACCACGCCATCCTTTCGACTGTTCACCACTGGACAGCAGTCTCCAACGTGGCCATTGGACGGTGGTCGTAATTACAAAGCTGAAGTCCCTATGAAATGAAGGTGGTCGACCCCACCTGACATGTCCATGTTTTATACAAGGGGTTAACCCTGCCCATAAAATAGAGAGTTTGCCATGGGTATCAACAAGCTCTTTGCAAAGTAAATGATAGTAATGCACTCGTTCAAAACTACAACTGCCCGCTAATGACTGAATCGAGTTGAAGTGCTCAGCTTGCACTCAACGAACAAACACGTATATATTGCACTCAATCAGCTCCTCTTTTCCGGCCAGCCATCTGAAGGTTTTGAATGTTGACGTGCTAGGTCAACATACCTTGAACATTTATAGCCTTCAAGGCTCTGTATTGGCCACCTGCGGGCCTTGCCACGACGGGCTTTGCCTCAAAAGGGCACGGCTATGTTGGCAAGCCGTTTCTGTACCTTTTATTTCTCCTATTGGCCAACTGCGGGCCTTGCCTCAAAAGGGCACGGCTATATTGGCAAGCCGTTTAGGAGAAAAAGGGGTTCGCCTCAGCAAATACGGGTTCGCCTCAGCCCGATGTAGCCGCTTGTGTTTCCTGCCTGCACGATGTGTGCGATCCCTCTTTCTCTTTCTCTTCGATCCTCGATGGTGTCCAGGTTCACGCCGATGTCGATGGCGGTCCCTATCAACGTCCCTCGAACCACGGGCGCTTGAAGCACCCTCCACGGCCTCCAGCTCGGTGCCCTTACCAGCCAAAGGTTCCTCAGCAGCCTCCTCCTCTGCTTTAACCTCCTCGTGGCGATCAGCCGATCTCCTAGCCGGAGGCGCGGCCTTAGCGGACAGCCCCTGCTTAGTGATCACCTGACTTGGGTGCTTCACGACGGTGGCGTCGGAGACCGCCTCGGACTCCTCGTCCTCTTGCTCGTAGGAGCTCTCGTCGGCCGCCTCCTTGTTCTTCTTGTCCTCCTCTGCTGGGGCCGCCTCTGCTCGGGGCGACCGAGGAAGCGGAGCTCTCTCTCCTCCAGGCTCTCGGTTTCCCCCAGCCAAAAGAGAGGGTGGCTCAGCGGCTGGGGCCCTCCCCTGAGGGCGTGCAGCCTGAGGTTGAGGTCCTAAGACCTTAGTCACCCTCAAGGCTCGCCCCTGCCGAACCGCACTGACCACAATGTCAGTAGCGATGGCCCTCAAGCCTGGATGACCCCAGGTGAAGCTCAACTCGGAGCCCAGGGCCTCCCAGCCGCTGCAACCAAGACACCAAGTGTCACCGGTCGACGGGGCGGCCCGGTGACACTTGGCGCACAAGGCCATGAACCGCCTCGAAGCTAAATGGAGCCAGTGGCCGGCGGAGCATTCGTGCAAATTAACTCACCTTACGGAAGTTTTCATATACACAAATGTCGGTTTGAGCCATGAAGAAGAATGCCAGGTCTAAAGGGCCCCTACCTTCTTGTGTTTCATCTCTTCGTTAGCTGCTTGGCTCGCCTATATATACATATTTGACCTCCCAACTCTCCTAACTTGCCTCGAAGCTGCCTGCTGCCATGCGGCCACCCTCTACCTTTGGCCCGAAGGAATACCAACCAAACTTGGAGAAGGCGTCTGAAAGCAGTACAGTGTACAGCTACTACTATCACTACAAAAAGATCATCACAAGGCAAATGGTATAGAGGTGAGGTGCCAAGAGATTTGTAGTGCGAAAGCAAGTGAGAAACTTGGATTGTGTAGAAGTCTCCAAGTGATTAAAAAGAAGAAAGCATGGTCAAGCAGCAGCTCGACAAACATGCAGTCTGCCTGCTGCAAGGGCAATGACTTAATCACTTGTCCAACATGCACGCTTGAAAAAGGAAGGCTTTAGGAATTCCGAACACTTCCCATCTCACGGCATGCTGGTGCAAAGGCCTCATCTTCCTTCCACAAGTGCTTGCAGGAAGTGCAGCGAATGGTGATGACGGGCTCCTCAGGTGAAGGCTTCCAAAGGATTCTAGCATAATAATGTTTCACTGTGTATTCACTGTGTATTGGAACTGTAGGTCCTGATTGTTATCATCGTGGCTGTGAAACCCTTTGAAGGACTGGATGTAGACCTGTACAAGCTCGAAGACTCGTGGGTTGGAAATCCTCCGCTCTTTGTCGCACATGCGCCCCGGTGCTAGCGATCCCATACCCTGGCTTTGTTGAACCTTCGTGAACATCGCAGAACACATTTCCTGGCTGCAGACTCCTCAGCTTCACCAATGATGACCAGCACTATCGATTGAGGTGAGTGACACACTTGTCACAGTCACATCGAGGACACGCAAAGTTGTCGGATGGTGTCCAGTGAGCCTGAGCCGTACATCGACATGAGAAATCTATAGAAATCTCTGGGATCGTCCGAAGATGTCTAGTGTCATGACGTGTCATGGTGTGTCATGTAGCTGAATCAGTTTGTTGAGCCGCACGAAGATCGGCCGTTTTCCTCGCCATGAACGAAAGGGGGCTCAAGGCGCCTCGTAAGGCACGTGAAGGTTGGGCCAAATGGTGGCCAGCGAGAAAGGGGTTCAGGACCCTGGGTCATGAGCATGCTCTGAATGCTATGCATTTCCACATCCTTCGGGGGGGACATTTCATGACCCAGGTTCCTTCACCAGGCTGAACTGTGCAGATTTCATCACCTGCCTCATCAGCATGCTATTTCCGCATCTTTTCGTAAGCGGATCGGCCAACATCTGGGATCCTGGCACCCAGTATGTTTTGACCTTCAAAAGTCGGGCTGAGATGCAGATCACAGCGACATCGATCTGCGCTCTGCGGCATTGGCCAGCATTTCCTGACCGCCTGCTGAGCAAATCAAACAAAGCTTTGGCATCAGTCACGTGAGCTCCAGTGCCATCGTCCTTGACCCGGATCGAGGCGATCTCAAAGTCCTCGTTGTGCTCGGGGAGCCTCACCACCATCGCTGACTCTGTGTCTCCGAGCCGCGAGCCGTCCAGCGCACAGCTGCTGGGGTCAAGCAGTTCGTGCCAAAGTGCACGAGTCCACTCCACTTCAGCCAGCGCATCATCCATTGCCAAGGCCTCTGACCCCAGCGTCGCCTTCTTCAACTTGTGGCTTCGCCAGGAGTTCAAGCTGAAATCAGCGGCCTGGCCCTTCATGATGCTCTCGTGAGCGAGCGCCAACACAAAGCCACCCTGCGACTTGTTCTCGACGTTTGCCATGGAAGCATCCGCAACCGTCATCCAGATGCTCTCTTCCGCAGGAATCGGCATGATCCTGATGATGGCGTCCATCGTTTGCTTCAGCTCTGCAACTGTCTTGTTAGCCATCAGGATGTGCTCCACCGTTGGTCCTGTCGAAGGCCAGGACATGGACATAGCGCATGCGGCGCCGACATCTGGCCGGCCCTCCTTTCCGACCCACAAAAGTGAGCCACCAACTCCACGGAGCCATGAAATCTCCTTTTCGTCCAGGAGCTCCTGCTTCTGCTTCATGCGCTCCTTGGTGAGGGTCACAGGACGGAGCTTCTCCTGGATGTATCTTTTCATGCTCACCTGAATCTCGAAGGTCGGCTGAGCTGTCGAAGACATCCTTCCATTTGCCGAACTTGAGCTGCGTGCGAAGCGGGTTCATGAGCTCTTGATGACGAGCGTTGCCACCCTGGCAGAAATCATCAACATCTAACAACACAATGCCAGCCACAGACAGCTTCTTGCCAGCCATTTCCTCCTCCGTGGGCTTGAGGTAGTAAAGACATGGATCGAAAACACTCTCCTCATAGCACAAAGTCAACAGCTTTCGCCTGACCGTGCGTCGCCAGACTGCTGGAGCATTCACCAGGCCGTAGACTGCAGTGAGCACTCGAATAATGGTCTGTTGACCATAGCCTGGGATGCCACTTGGAGGCATGGAAGCATATAGTGGTCCTTGTTCACGTTCAACTGGATCACTCTGACCAAAAGCTGAGCTGACATCCATAATGAAGAGGTGGAACTGCAGGGATGACAGAATCTGAAGTGCCAGCATCACGGTGGTGCTTGAAGGTGTCGGTGCAAATCGCTCCAACTGGAGGCTGTCGGGGTCTCTATGCCCTAGCGGGATCCAGCGTGCTTTGGCTTTCCATTGCTCGCCAACCTCGCCGGTCTTCTTTGTTATGATGAACCGGCTGGGCATGATCCGGTGGCTGTATTTGTCATGCACCCACCGGATCTGTTCTTGATCAGTGATCATCTCGATGGCGTTGGAGCCAATCAGGTTGTCGATCTCCTTGGTCTTAGCTTCAGCGAAGAGCTTCTTTTCATCATCATTCAACTTCTTTTCATTCAGCTCTTTGCCACTCTGTTTGGTGAGATAGGACAGCGAGCTCTCTTCTTGGAGGTAGTGGTTGTAGTAGGTGTCATTCTTCATCACCTTGTGAAAGACCTGGAGGTCACGTTGGTTGGCAACCACTGGAAACATAGCTTTGCTGCCCCACTCTGTGAGATCGTCTGCACGCCATTGACCAAAGATGCGAGAGCGCTGAGGTGCCCGCTGATCAGTGGCTGCTCCTTCCAAGCTGCGCTTCATGCCCGTGTCCACCAGCCGCGCATCTTCTTCTGGTGCCTCAGGTGGATCAACAACTTCATTTGGGCCATAAAGAGGTTCCTTGTAGTCCTCACCTGGATCTGGGTGTTCTGGAATGGCCTTGTACACCAGGACAGTGAGGATGTTGATCACCCCTTCAGGCAGCTTGTCATGTGCTCGGTGAATGGGCATCTCTGGAGTGATGGCGATGTCTTGGATCTTTCGGTTCGTGTCTATGTCATAGGTGACTCTTCGAACCACATCAGTCCAGAGTGGGCCCTTGCTGTTTGAGCCACGGTAGCGCTTGGCACTGAAGTCATGGCGCTTCCACATCTTGAGAACTTCTGGATGGCCACTTGAAGGCTCAGGGACATCTTGATGTGCCTTTCTGTTTTCCAGGGAGGCCTTCCAGAGTTCATCTGCGTCATTTCCTTCTTCTTCTGCAGCTGCCGACTGTGGTTGGTCTGCTGCTGCTGGTGTGACTGCTGATGCTTGCTTGCTTGCTGATGCCACAGGTTGTGATTCTTGAGGTTTTGCCTTGCTTGAGTCAATCACTTCATCGATGACAACACGTGCAGGTGCTGCCTTCGCAGGTGATCGTGTGCGGTCCCTGCGTTGTGTAGCAACTGGTGTTGCTGGTTGCTTGCTCTGCCGTGCTGGTGTACCAGGAGCAAGTGTTCCTGGTGTGCCGGGCGCAGGTGTCGAAGGATTGGGTGTTCTCAATCCTTCGGGGGGTCCTCGAGGTGTTCCTGGGACCTTGCGATACACGGTGTGTGGGTCAAGTGCTTGTTGCCGTGCAGTGTGGCGTGTTGCCTGCCGTGCTGCTTCAGCTGCTGCTGGAGTCGGTGGAGCCTGCCTCGGGGCTTGTTCGATGATCTCCAGATCATCTGGTGGGTCGCCCTCCTTGGTGACGTCCGTGTAGCCAAGTTTCTCGGGATGGAACCTTAGTCTTTCCTTGGCCTTCAGGAGGTCGGCCTCAATGACTTCAAGCCCTTGCTTTTCGAGGCATCCCATCTCAAACACCTGACTCTTGTTGCATTTCCAGAGCTCTCCACGGCGGGTCACCCATACAGTATCGCCGCGCTGCAACACAACGAAGCACGGACCAACCTTTGCCACATTGCCACGTCGACCTTGTCGCCAAACGGAGACGGGGTCACCTTCCTTGAAGTGGTGGTCTTCTCGAGCTCTCCTGGGTCTGGCTCTGATGGCTCTTTGAACTCGTTCTTTGGCATCAACGTCCATCAAGGCTTGACGAGCTGCCTTGCGGATCTCCTCAGAGCGGGACCAGGCGTCATCGGTGGTCGTGCTGTACTCAAACTGTCGGGCGTCACTGAGGAGGTCGAGGCCAAGGCTAGGTTGCTTGCCAAAGACTCTCTGAGCTGGTGAGTAGCCAGATCTGTTCGTCATAGTTTGAAGTGCCCAAGAGACCTCATGAACCAAATCTTGAACTTCTTCAATCGTGGCAGGTTGCTTGAGCTCACGGGTGCGGTAGTACACCTCTTTGAACAGGCCACCTCTTCTCTCAGTCACCCCATTCTGATATGGAGCATCCCTGTCAATCAGCAATGGCTGGATGCCATGTGACTCGAGCATGGAGATGAAGTGCCCTTGGAACTCCAAACCTTGATCCATCAGCACAAAGGATGGTGCACCAAATGTTCGAAGCCATACGGAGAGAAACTTGCTCCACACCAACTCTGAGCCTCTCCGAGTAGGATGCACCATGCTGAAAGTGGAATACAAAGTTCCAAGGCATGTGACGTTCAAGATTGGATGCTTGGTGGTGTGACTGATGCCATGCACAAACAACAAATCAATTCCCAGCACCACATTGAAGTCATAGGTGCGGGGCGTTGATGCAGGAAGTCTGGTGGGCTGTCGTTTCTCTTTGAGGCATCCCTCGCAAGTGAACTCCTTGAGCACATACTGCACCACATCATTTCTGCTGCCGGCTGCCTTGAGAAGTCTCACAAATTCTTTAACTCCAGGGTGTCCCAAATTGACGTGGGCTCGGAGGATCATCTGCTTCTCGGCGGCCGTCAGGTCGGAAGACTCAGCAAAGCTCCAGGTCAGCTCGGGATGAGTGTAGAGGATCACCACAAAGGGGTAGGAGACCTCAAATGGAGAAATCTTCCCAGAGCTGCCCTGTTCGAATTGAATCCACTTGCCATCCAGCACTCCTTTCACCCAAGTCCACCGGAGACATCGGTGATCAGGTCCTTGTAATGGAACTTGATGTTGTAGGGGCTTACGGAGCACCAGAATGGCATCGTCATTGAAAGATCGCCACTGCTGCCATTCTCGTGGACGGAGTTCATCGACCCACTGGTTCAAGTCACCTGTGTCAGGGAGTCGTTTGGGTCGTCCTTTCTGTGTGTTCACCCAGCTCTGAACCAAACCATCAATGATTGCTCGCACCAAGGCTGGAGGGTATTCTTGAGCACGATGTGGTAGTCCACCGATCAAGGACTCATGAGGTTGCTGGCAGTTGCATAGTCGCTGGAGGTTGATGGCAGTCTCATCATTGGTCGTGGCAAAGAGTGTTGCTTTGCGATTCAAGCCACCTTCTCCAACTTTGAGTCCAAATCTGCAAAGATGGCTCTTCACGAGGATCACCTGTTCGTGCTGCAGGTAGTTTTGGACCTTGGGCAACAACCACGAAGTGGCCGTGTCTGGGTGTTCATGGAGTCCATCTCCTCCACGTGACAGCTGCTCCTCCTGCATGTCCATCGAAAAGTTGAGGTGTCGCTTTGCCTCAGGTAGCTCCTCCATCAACCGTTCTGGATGTGGTCGAATGTTCTGGAGCGGTGAGAACTTCGTGCAAGGAGGGGTCGTGGTCAACAATCGCGGTCTCCGCCGCCTCAGCTCCTGTCGAACCCATTCTTGTTGGTCCTTCTGGTTCATGTCATACCCAGTGACGAGGTCGATGGACAGGCTAGCTTTCAGACCTCTCTTTTGGGCTTCTTCCACAAGTCGTGGAGGACTGTAGAGCTCGACGACGGAGTCATTCTCTTCAGAGAGGCCACCATAGATCTCGGCAATGTCGTCTGGTTCATCGAGTTGCTTTTCCCAAAGGGTCCAATAGGCTTCCTGGCCTCCAAGTAAGTCATCCAGACTTCTCATAATCTCGCCCTTTGTCGACTTTGCCAAGGTGGTCTCATTCTCATAGAGCTCGGAGTCGGTCAGGTACTCCAAGAATTCAGGCATGAACTCATAGAGGATCAAACATGGAGTTTCCATTCCAAGATTGTAGTCTTCACCAGGCACCTGGGACACATGCACTGCGTTCCAGTGATCATCGCACTTGGTCAAAATGACCTTTCGGCTAAGGAAGGCTCTGGTGATGACAGGCGAAACTCCGCGGACACATTCACCACGAAATGTGGTTACATAGGTTGCCGCTTGATCCAAGTCCAAAGTGGACATCACCTTCTGGAAGCGACTGTCATCGTGCAACGACGTCATCTGTGACATCCAACCAGCTAATCGTTGTGCAGGAGGTTGATGTTGAATCGTCCCATCTTGGCATAGGCTACTGGCATCTCGAAGAGGAATGCTGCCAGGCCACACTGCTCCTCCATGCACTGGATCTCCACGTCCTCGGGGTTGGGAGAGTCTTTGATCACCAACATCTCCTTGCTGTTGCATCGAGGACAAATCATCGCGCCATACGCTGGTTGAACGTGGTCGTTCAAGTCGCCCCAGTGGTGGTCGCATCTCATGTTGTCGCACTTCCAAAGGAGGTTCATCGAGGGGACATGGCGACAGAGCGTGACCATGCCCGTGTGGCACACGTCGCAAGACTGAGAATGTGCTTGCCGTTGAATCTCCACCATCGCCACATCCTGGTCGCCGATCATCGCTGCAGTCTGGCCCATCTTCAGCAGGTCGTCCGCCACCACATCCACCATGAATTCTGGTCCTCCCTGATCTCGTCCAGGTCCTGCTTGATCTCCTGCTTGACCATCGGTGGTCGTGCCTTGGACTTGTAGGCCATGGCTCTGGATGAGCTCTTTGGAGTGGTCATCAACAAGGAACTGGTGGATGAGATCGAACTCGGTGACTGGACCGTCACACTGCTGGAGGCATCGCTCGAACCTTTCTTGCTCTTGGTGGACTTCTTCCTGATGTCGTAGAAGACGTCCGGGATGTAGACCAGGTTCTGGTTCCAGTTGTGCAGTTCGGTGATCAGGGTCAATGGCATGATCTGCTTCTGCTGGCACTGATTGCACTCCTGCCATGAGAGAACTCGATTGGCTCCATGCTTCACTTCTACTTCCGGGTGAGTGCAACCCGGTGAAGGTTCCAAGGCAGGGACCAGGAATCTGCCCTTTCCTTTCACCATTGCCAGTGGTCGGACTCTCTCCTCCCGTCGTGCCATTGCCAGGGATCCAGTCAAAGCCGATGGTGTCGTGACGTGAGCTTCGGCTAGAACTCGCTGTTCCTCCTGGGCCAATTGGAAGGCTTGTTGCTCCAAATGCTCTCGTCGCTGTTGTAGCCAGCGGACTTCTCGAAGTTGGGGTGTTCGCACAGCTTCCTGGAGCACTTGCCAAGCTTGAAGGGAGGCCGATAGTAGAAAGCGCAGCAACAAGCGCCGCCAGCGGCACCATAGCTGCTGGATAGTGCGACAGGGCATCCAGCGTAGCCCAGTCGGGAATGGGCTCGACCGACCAAGCTTGGCTGGAACTTGCTGCAAAATTCGAAGGCGCATTGAAACCATTCTTGCCAAAATCAATGATAGAAACCGAGACGTGGCCTGATGACAACCTTCTCATGTTTTGACTTGTTGCTAACTTTGTGTACCAAATCACAGCATGCTCCATGTCAATGACGGCTCCGACGTTCGAGAGGAAGTAGGCAGGAATGAGGAAAGGTATTGTTCCGGGGACCACCTGAACACGAAGTACACCTGACTTGCCCCCGAGACCGATTGGCACATAGGCAATGGATGTGCTTTCCTCCTTCCCGCAAACACCACGAACACTACCTCCGGCTTCATGAGACCATTGAACGCGCAAACCAAATCTTTCTTGTAGGAGGGTGTCATGTTGCTCCAATGTTTCACGACCAACCAATCCATGTTGGGCAGCTGTATCAACCAGAGCGGTGCCCTGATCTTCATGAACCGCTAGAAAAACAAAGCTCAAGCCGGTGAACTCAGCTGCAATGTATTCGCTCTTGGTTTCAAGCTCATTGGTAGTCGTGAGAAAGGCCCCTGCCAGTTTAGCAGGTGGCTGAATGAAAAAGCCGGTACTCATGCCGGTGCTCATGGCGCCCGTGGAACTTGAACTTCTCGAAGTCGGTGAAGTGGTCTTGGCCCGGTGTGGGCATTCTTTGCTCCAATGGCCAACCTGCTTGCAAGTGTGGCAGCGGGTTTTGGCCTTCAAGTCATTCAGGCTCATGCGGGATCCGGTTCTTGTCCATGGTCGGTCGTATCCACGACCGTTGCGGCTAGCTTGCAAAAGGCGTCTATGCTCAAGGTAGCCGCCGCCCTTGCCAGAGCCAAAACTCGGTGCACCCTGGCCGTAGGTCCGTGTGGGACTCTTGCTCTTTCCCTTCTTTCCTTTGCCCTTGAAGCCTTTTCCTTTGCTCTGCATGCGGTTCTGTGTCTCGTAGTAGATCTCCTCGATCTGGTTGGAAACCGCTTCCAGAGCATCAGCCTCATCCATGATGACGGGCAATTCATCTTGGAAGACCATTTGCGCTTCTTCGTTCTCATTCATGCAAATCAGGTCCTCGAAGGGGTCCATCAGCTCAGACTCGAAGACGTCATAGTCCCAGTCCTCATCTTCAATCTCTCCATCTTCATTGTCGCCCCAGTAAGTGGCACTTCGCCATCGTCGATGAGGCGCTCCATGGTCTTGGGAGAGTTCGTCAAGTCGGTCACCAAAGACCTTCTGGACAGCCATCTCGATCTCCCGAAAGTCGATCGATCCATTGGTCACGACCTTCAACCTCTGCCGTTGATCTTGGCTGAATGACCCTTGGCGAAGGATCAGATGGCCAAGGAGGTGTCTACCAGCTGGCGTCGCCAAAAGGTCGAGGCCTTGTTTTCTCAACTCTGCAAATGCCGCCTTCTTGTTCGTCAGGAAGGTGGTCAGGGACATTCCTTTGTCCCGGCGGCCTCGAAAGATGGCCTCGTCAAAGGCCTGCTCCAAACGCTGGTCCTTGAGGTACTCATGGGCGTCCTCGATGATCTGAACGATCGTCTTGTGCCCGGTGTCCGAGCAAATCTCTTCCACCGTCAGGTGGGCAACCAAGGAGCTCAGTCGTGAGCCCAAAGGGATGGCATCAATGATGCGCTTGCCAATCAAATTCAAAGGCAACCTCGCCTCCGCCTCCACCAGCCACAACTGCAAATTTCTCTGGTACTCGCGGAACTGCTTCTCTGGCATTTCGCCGCCCCAACTTGGAGCAGGGTCAAGGCGATAGTCCACATGTTTCTTGGGCTCCCGGCCTTCATTGCCGGACTTCGGAGTGGCAGGATGCGAAGGCATACGAGGCGGTGTAGTAGCCAGCCTAGGCGGACCAGTGAGAGCTCTGCTCCATGGATCTTCTGGCTCATCATGGAGTCCCGGGTCAACGGGTTGAGATTCTCCCAAAGGTCGTTGGGGACTATGCGGAGGCATGGGTGTAGCCGTCGGCGGAGTGGGGGATGTACCGGATGGGTTCATCGATGAAGTGGCTCCAGTCCCACGCCAAGTCCTAGCTGGCGGTGGCATTCCACCAAAGGCCAATGGCCGAAAACAAGGAACAAACTTCCCAGCGCAACCTGGTAATCGAAGGGCTCCAAGAAATAGTAACTTCCCCAAAATCCCTGGGTAGAACTACCGCGAGAACGCGGTCCAAACAAAGCGTCGAGCAGCCGGGGGGCGTCCCCCCCGAGACCAACTCAAACACGTCCTCGCGGGAGCCCCAGTCGTCACCGGGGCTCCGCTACCACTGTTGAGCCGCACGAAGATCGGCCGTTTTCCTCGCCATGAACGAAAGGGGGCTCAAGGCGCCTCGTAAGGCACGTGAAGGTTGGGCCAAATGGTGGCCAGCGAGAAAGGGGTTCAGGACCCTGGGTCATGAGCATGCTCTGAATGCTATGCATTTCCACACAGTTGATTGCGAGAAAAGCGAGACAAAGCTGACTCAGCACTGGACAGAGTCTTCTGCCGTGATTCCCAAGGCTTCTTGGAGACTTTCCTCAACCAGGAGTCACTGGAGGTGTCCAAGAGTCTGCCAAACAGATTCGCATAAGTAGCACAAGAAAGGAAAACCAAGGTGCACTTGAGCAGGAAAGCGGTCATGAATGGACCACACAAAGCACCAGACTTCTCTGAAAGAGGTTGAGGCTTGACACATCCACTATCACACCGACTGAGGCAAATTGGCCTTATGAATGTTCCCTGGCCATCGTTTCTAGGTTGGGAGGCCATCCCTATTAGATTGGGCTCCCCAAAGCTTGTCGGCCTGACCACAGTGGAAAAGAAAAACAATCGTCATTCTGTATTACATACAGGATTGACTGGCTCCACCCATACCCACTAATCCACTGCTCCTGCCGGAACTGCTGGAGCTCGTTTCTTTGGGACTCGGCCATAAGCGCCTGCAGTCAGTTGGGTATTTGGAAGGTTGCATGAAACACATTTCCTTAACCTTGCGTGGCCCTGCCCTTGCCGGTTTCGAAGGTCAATGGTTTCGCAGCTGCGCATGAAACATCTGACAAGCAATGGGCCGTCGAAAGTAGCATCACAAGCTCCAAGATCGAATGCTCTGTGAATGCACTGCAATTTTCTGCACCTGCCACTGTGACAATCGTTGAACACTCCGTGTTCTTCTACTAGCAAGAATCCTTCTGAAAACTCACCAATATCACGCAGAAAACTGGCTCCCTGCCTCGTCACCCATAGAGGCCAACTCTTCCGCGTCCAGCTCCCCGCTTTTCAGCTTCTCCGACAATATGTTGTTGCGCCGCAGGTGGGTACCTTCAATTCCAGATCGTTGGTTGAAAAATGCCGAAAACAAGAAAAGCGGTGATCGAAGTGATCCCTTCGTTTTGCCGATCAAAACTATATAAATCTCCAACATATCCAGTGCTGCACCAACTCACGGTCTCGGGGCTTGGCACAACCTCTTGTATTGAAACTTGTAGGCCTCACCATGGTGCTGTTGCCGCATGAAGAAACACGTGACCAGAAAAATGGGCGCGCTGCAATGTCAGAATCACAGAAATGCAATGCATTGTCCTCTAGTGTCCTTAAACATGTTCTGTAGGAGCCATAGTGCCTGACCTTGTACTGCTCGCTGCCTTCCGTGAGAGCTTCACCTGGGAGTGCCAGACTGCAGTGCTCGAGCAACACTTGAGTGGCACTACCAATTAAAGCTCGTGAAAAGTTCTTCAGCACGTCAGCGCCTTCCAACCTCTGCATACTGTAAGCACTTGGCACTGAGAAGGAATGAACAGCGTTCTTGGACGAAGAATGGAACTTCGATTCAACAAATCTATATACTGTAATGTTTCTTTCTGATCCCTTCTGCTTTGGAATTGCAGGCCTCGCGGGCAGGCAACTTTCAGCATGCCACGCTCCAACCTCCAGCAAAATCCACAAAGTCCCTGCCCCATGGTATTGCCAATATTGCCATAGTTGTGAAGCTTTGAGATCTGTTTATGACTTTGTCCCGGATGCAATCATGATTAACAGGTTAAGTTCACAGGCCGCGGCCAAGGCTTCATCAATGCAATATAAGTTTGAGCCGCTGGCCCTTCGGCGAGGCGCTTGCCAAGCCCTGACTTCTTGTCAAAGCCCTGGACCACAGCCTGTTGCAGCCAGTCAGACATTGCCAATAATAACCAAACAGCTTGCAATCCCTACGGACACTAGAAAAAGGAAAGTGTTCCAGTACAGCCAAGGAAAAATCCTACGAGCTGGTTCTGAATTTTGCTTTGCACCTGCCGTCTCTGATCATCTTTGCTTTTCTCTTGCCTCAGTGGTGCCACATTGAAGTGTTGTCCAAAAAGAAGCACACTACTTCAAAGTCTATGATTAGTCTGTCGGATCAAAAGTCACGGTTGAAGAGACAAATAAAATAACATGCAACACGACAATGAACACTGACATGAAATGACGAAGCAACAGCCGTCAAAGCTATGTCAAGCAATCAAAGTGACGCGTTAGTCGAGTTTGGCCTCTCTGGTGGGCCTCCTTTATGCTTCAAACCTTGGCATCTCAAGGTCTCGCACGTCCGCTCGATCTTCTTTGATGTTCCGAACGATGCTCACATTTGCTACCTTCCGTTTTGGCATCTATGTTCGGATTCTGTGCTCCCTACATTACATTGAAATCGTGGCCTTGCCCGAAGAGATCCCAACATTCTTTGGCACCAAACTGCAGATTTTCAGAACGCTCCTTCAACAAAAGGCCATCCCCTGTCTGTCGCTTCTCCACGGAGACAGAAGTGATTTTGTGGAGGTATGATTCATCTACAATCTACAGCTCCTGAACCTGTATTGCAAGCATGGCCAAGTCCAATATTAGATTACTGTAGGAAGGACAAGCGTCAAGCGTATTGTTGTGTAGGACAAATCAGTCCAGGGTTGGAACATCATGCGGCAAACAAGTCTGGGCATGCCTGGGCTACCCTGCGAAGTTTCATGGAAGGACCTGGGGAAATCAAAACGAGATGTGAGTTGTCACAGCATGTCCCAGCCAGATTCTGCTTGCAAGCTCATCACATTTGAGCAGTAGTGGAGTGGGTCCCGTTGCAAGCTGCTAAGCTCTCATGCAAACATCTTTCAAGCGTTGCACAGTTTCAATGCTGCTGGGCCTTTCGCTCACTCACTTCTCATTCCGGAGGCCGCAATACCGCCATTGCCATTGGGCCCAATTTCTTGCTGAAAGCTGTTAAAGGTAAAGGCTTGAACAGGCGCATGGCTTATGTCAACTTTGCAATCGCCACTCAAAGCTGTCGTGACAAAAGCCATGCATAGTGGTAGAGGCAAAATATGGTACAGTACAATACTTGGCAACATCTGGTATCCTTGTTCGAAGCTCTGGAAATTGTTGAAGCAGAGGTGATCTCTGCCTGTGAAATTGCAACTTATGACTCCAAGAGCCAAATGCCCTCCGCAGTTGACGGCCGACAGTTCTTTCACATCTTCGGCAGCGAGTAACGTGGTATTCAGTGCCAGCTGGTGAGAGTGAGACTCCTACGTACTAGTAGCATCCTCCTAGTAGCAATCCCAGGAGCCCCTAGTAGCTTCTTGTTCCTAGTAGTACGGCCAGGAGCCCCTAGTAGCGATGCCCTTGCTCCTAGTTGGTAACTACCCCCATGGGTTGCTTCCACATCAACCTGTCCTGAATACTTTTCTGTGATGCCGCTGGAGCAGCGGGCGTTGACACCTCGGCTCACATCACTTCGATCAGGATCAGTTTAGTCTCGAAACCAGCTCGCTGCTACTATTTGCAAATCATCACTTAAGACATCCAAGCGTTGGGTGTGAAATAAATTATCAAGTCTTGCTTCAAGGTGAAGTTCCCTAAAAATGAAGGAACCGAGTCGTCAATCATGCAAAGGGTTCTTAGATCAGCAGATAGTAGCTTTTTTGCTGCTACTAGTTACTTGCTAGGTACCTTCACGGCCGTGGCCGGCCTTCACGGCCGAACACTTCTACTAGTAGCTTCTTGTTCCTAGTAGAGATGCACTTGTTACTAGGTTCCGCAAGTACTTCTGGAAAGGAAGGAAATCGACTTTGTGAGGCAACTTAAGCTACTCGAGCTAAGCTTTGCACAGTCCTGGTCTCAGGTGGCCTCTGCTCCCGGGAGCCAAGCTCAGGGAATACGAAGATAATCGACTATCGAACACTCATCTGAAGACTCCCTTCATAGACCAACTACTATCTACAATTGAAGCGAGACAAACTCTTTGTCAAACAGCTCAAAAGGCCAGCTCTGAAGATGTGCTTTTGTTGTGTTACGGTGTGAAGACCTTTATAGGGGTGCACAAAAACTGCTTGTTGGCCCCAACGCTGAGCATAGCCTTTGAAGACCAGCAACTGTAATCCACTTAATGCTGCTGCTGAATCTGTAAGCACAGCGAAGTACAATGCTCTGACAAAACCACAGAGGAAATGAAGTGTTGCTCTTCCACCGAGGGGCGCATGGGTAGTGGTGGCCTTTTTCCTCAGGTCCTTGAGGCCAGAGACTGAAAAGACTATGGTGAAAGTCGTTTTTCTCAAGATGTCAAACAGATTTCCCAAAGCTCACCCTTCTTGATCTTCACACATGCCCTCCTATTTGGTCTCAGAATGCCAGTCGAATTCACGATCCAATCAAATTGCCAGTGATGGAAAAAACAAACTGCAAAAGACTCTTAAGACAGTTGGCAAACTCAAAACACAAACAGGAGGCAAAAAGACAAAGAAAGTCTTCCATGTGCCTCACGCTTCACGATCTTTTTTGGTCGCTCCACGTATGTTCCATCAGCCTGTAGGGCTGCAACGCAAGTGTGCATGTGTTCAACATACATTGCTTTTGAATCTCTGCAACGGGTAAGTACATGATCCTCTCCAACAGAATCCTCAGACCATGATTCTGTCACAGAACCAAAAGCAACTCATGAAAACCACCGAGAGAGTCCTTGCAGTCTTGTAAACCTGAATGGAGCTCTTGCCGATCTCAACAACAAAATGTATCAATTGTCCACGTTTAATCCTTTTGGCGAGAGGGTCAAAGCCTATCGTCTTGATTGGACGCAAGGATGTGCTGTACCTCTCCCAAAATTGATGAGTAGAAACTTGCCTTAAGCCTCTTCAGCTGGGCTACGCACCATGCACCGTTGTATAAGGCCCCATGACCGTCCAAACCAGCCTTGGCCACTACGTCTGACTTTGTCTTTGCATATGCGATGCCTCGGTCAAAGGTAGACGATGGCGGCAACCCAAAAGAGTAATATCTTAAGTCGGACCGTCGGGCTTCCGCGGAGTATTTTGCTTGTACTCGGTGTTTGCCTCTCTGCTTCTGGTTTTGAAGAACCAGTAGCTATTCGTGTATCCTTGATGGGTTGTCAGTCAGGACTTCATCTTGTGGTGAGCTTTGCTACTACAGTTATATTGCTGAAGATTTATATTTTTAGCTGAATCTCGGAGAAACATCCTTGTTGCAAGCGGTTTGCTGTGCAGCTGTGAAGGGGAAGGGCTACAAACCAAGAGTCTTGCGCATTGGCTTGTTGTAGAAGGGGAAGCCCTGCAAAGACTTCAAAGAATTTGTCGCAGCTGCGACCTGCACAGTGCTAAGGGTTGGGAACCAGGATCCTGACTATCAACGAATCAAGCACGCATGAAGCCTATGAAATGATGCAGATGGTCATACAACATGCCAAATCCATACAAATTCAATGAGCAAGGCCCTCAAGTGAGATGCACGAGCCTCCTTGAAGATGATCCAAGCCTGGAAAGACACAGGCGATCCATATTCCATATTATAGTCTTGTGACGTGTTTTGTCCAAGCAAGAATATGTGGGAATCAAATGCAGACGCGTTTATCATTCCTCGAATGAAGACTTCATTGCCCAATGCCTGCCCTCTTCGCTTCAACGACTTCATGGCGATAATGTCGATGATGCCACCGAAGGCTGCAAAAACCTCGTCGCATGGATGTCGCAGCCAAGTTGTTTCTCAAGTTGATCGTGCCGGTGAAGAGTTCACTATCAAATTCAAATTCGATCCCTCTTTAGAGAGTCTGGGCCAAGTTGTATTGACTATCGTTGGACCCAACAAGTCCTTGTCAGAATACTGCCTAATCTGCCAAGCAAGGACGTGCTGGACAACTCCCGTGCTTCTAGTTACAGTTAGTGCATCGTAGGTTACCAGACCAGTCCAACTATCTCCCGAAAAAGCTAGGTGAACCGTCAACGCCAGCTCATCAGCGCTGCAAAGGAAACTCGACTCTGGGGCCAATCTCACGCCTCCCGCAAAGATTTCTTGAGAGTCTCGACATTGATCTTGTCGTTGAGGTTGTTTACATACCTCAAGCGCTGGCCTCTCTGGAATGCAATCCCGCTCAACTCTGTTGCAGATCAAACTCGTGGCATTTAAACTACATAGAGATAAACATCCTACCTGTCAGAAACCGTTTCCAGGATCTGCTTGGAGCCCGGCAAAGTCTGGTTTGCTGCCTCACATGGACATGGGCCAGTTGTCAACATGGGTCAAAATGACATCTGACAATTTCGAGAATGCATTTGCTTCTTCATGTCCACTTTGAGAGTGCTGTCTTTAGATTCGCTATGTGGTTGCACACAGTATGGAAACTGATTATATAGATCATTACGTCATGCTAAGCTTCAGACCATGGTGCAGATCTAGCTGCACCAACCAGCCCAGCCCGTTTGGTTCTTGAGAGTGAGCGAAAGAAACAAAGATACAAATTCTTGTGATTTCTTGTGTATATCTAAACTGCGGAGAACACAAATAGCCTTAAAGAGTAAGGCTGCGCAGTTCCACCATGAAGCGTCAAAAGGACCTTGGATTTTCCTTGGCAAACTACCAAAGCAGTGTGAGACAGCGAAATTCTCCACCGAGATCCCAACAGCTCCAGTTTTCATAAGTAGACATACAGTAGCCTCTTAGATAACCTCAAATAGGCTTCGTGATAGGGTCTCAACTTGGATGGTCGAAATAAAAAGGCCAGCCAAGGTGAATAATTATACATGGTCCATGGTTATTGCAGGGAGTGAGAGGCGCAAATGCCATGATCATGCTACGAATATTCAGGCATTGTCGGCATTGTAAGTTATTCACCATCGATATAGGATGAAAAGGCTTCCATGCGGACTGACACCTCTCAGTCCAATGTGGGGTATCAATTGCCATGTCCCGCCGTCACGTTATCGTTTTTTGCTCTTGTCGTTTTCTCAGGCGGTGGGCTCTCTGTAGCTTTCTGTGGGTGTGAAAGCATCCTTGGTTGTTTAATAAGGAAATTGCATGCTGGCAATGTCACATGGCTGAAGGCAAGAAAACTGTTCAGGATGAATTATATATTTGATACTCAACTTGGACACGTGTTTCTTCCTTCTGCAATGCTCATCAAACATAGGCTGCACGTGCAACTTCTTGAGTTTGGAGGGAGGCTTCAACAAAACAATGTTGGGATCCCTGCTAAAGATTTCGCACTGTACAAAGGACCTACCCACATGGGCCTTTCTTGGCGAGATTGCGCTGGTGAAGAGAAACAACTGCAACCAGTTGCAATGCAAACAGTTGAAAAAGATTGAAAGTTGATCTTCAGAATTCACCACCGTGACGCCGCGCGCTCTCTGTTGCCAGGTGAAACAGTGCAGGCTACCAGCCATGCTCATGCATCCCGCCGGCTGGCCAGCCAGGGATACGTTTGTGCGCAATGGCAGTGCCAAACCTGGAACCACAAAAACGGATCAGGATGAGAGGATTTCAGCATGGCCATGGGCGCTAGGCCGCCTGGTTTTTATGGGCAGTGCGTTGCCACTTTGCACTGAAAAAAGAACATCCCCAACAACTGGGCATGAATTTTCTGACCAAGCCATGGCAGCTTTTGGCACGCGTCGTCAATCAATTTGCGACGTTTGCAAGGTTATCAACAAGTGGTGTGTGTGTGTGTGTTGGTAGACACGGCTGCCTTCAAACGTGTGAACCGCACCATGCAATCACATTAACACGGCAGTGTAGCACATGTGCCCACATATGTGCACGCTGCAAGCGTGAGAACACCGCAACAAACAATAAGTAGGAAACCTCCAGTCCTGCCTTTGGAGCCCGCCAGCAAGTGAGCCCGACAGCATGACCCGATATCTGCGTCTCAGCGTGACAACGTGTCGGCATGTTCGTGTTTTGTGAAGTTTCTTTGATTACACGAGGGTATCCTCTCTCAATCGAGCCAGGTCAAACGGACACCAGGACAGTCTCAGTGTGGTTCGTACATTCTGCTGTCCTCCTCGGACGCTATCTGAGTGAACAAAACCCGCACAGAGTCAGCGCTATGCCTACGCCACTCTTACACTTGTCCAGGAGCACTGTGCGCATGTACTCACATGACTGGGTTATATGGTATATGGCTGACATCCGTCAAACGCGCGTGGGTTCAGTGTGCCCAGACAGATCTATAAGCCATCTCCAAACAATCCAATGCGGCGCTGCGAAGTACAGTGGGCGAAGGTAACGTCTCCCAGGGTCCCCCAGTAGCAGCGCAAACCGCGCGGACGTGTCAACGCTAGGCCGTGACAACATTATCATAGCGGCCTCTCATCATCCGGGGCTTCTGAGAAGGTGCTCCAAAATTCCGGAATCTGCTCCGAACTTGCTTCGCAACCAATTTCCCAAACCCTCGAACTTGTTAACTCGCCCCGAAAACTCCAGAACCAACAACCTGCTGCGCAACGTGCTCCGGACCCTGCACCAGAAGTTGCTCCGAAACATGTTCCAAAACTTCACCCGCAACGCGCTACAGAACCTTTTCCGGAACTTGTTCCGGACCCCTGCTGCCTGCTCAGGAACTTGCTCCGGAACTGCTCCAGAACTTGCTCCCAGACTTGCTCCAAAATTTGTTCTGGAGAATGTCCTGTTGGCCCCCTAGTTTCGCAACTTGTTCCGGAACTTTCTCCGGAACGTGCTTCGGGACCTCCTCCAATCGGTCTTTACTACGGCTGAAGAGCCCTAAGCTTCTCTGTTGGAATAGTTCATATACCCAATTTTTGACCGAAACTAATTGATGAAGTATGATGAAATGAACTTACCCAGAAAGTAAGGCCAAGAAAAGCCAACAGCTGGGCAGCAAGCCCCCTACATACTAGGCAGCGGCACCATCGCAAATTCGCCAACAAGTGTCGTGTCTTTCCCAGACAATGCTGTCTTCAAAAGCGTGAACCTTTCCATACGTCGGCATAGCACATATGAATCACGCGCCCACATATGTGCAAGCACAACAACGCCCCTACAAGCAAGAACAAACAAACCCGCTCCGGACGGCATGACCCGACTTCAGCATCTCACCGTGACAACATGTCATTATGTTAGCGTGGCCCATTCCAGCGCGCCACCATGACAAGACAACATCCCGGCGTGACACCACACAAGTATCAGCGTAAGAGAACGAATCACGTCAGCGCATGGGCGTGGCAACACCTCAGTGCGTCAGAGAGGCACAGCGTATCTGCAAAGTGCTCCAGAACTTGCTCCGGAACTTCCTCCAGAATCAGAACCTCACCCGGAACCTCTGCAACTTCCTGCAGAACCTGCTCGGCACCTCTTCAAAACTCCCTCGGGAACCTGCTCCGGAACCTGTTCTGGAAGCTGCTCCGCAACTTGTGCCGGAAGCTGCTGCAGGACCTCCTCCAATCTGCTCCAAAGTCTTTACTACGGCTGAAGACCCCTAAGCTTCGCTGTTGTATATAATTAGCAAATGTTTCATTTCTGAAGTATGGTGAAATGAACGTACCCAGAAAGAATTACTTCAAGCCGTCTTTGAGCTTTCAAGCCGTCTTCCGAACCTCGCCACTGAAACCCACTCGCCTCAGGGACCTGGCTGTGCCACCCGTCTGCCGCTGCGTCCGTAGACGGTGCTCCTTGGCTTCTCGATCACGGACGTGCTGCTCAATGCTCTCCAGCCTGGCATGTGGCATGTGGAAAACCGGAGAATTCAAGCTTGTGGACCAGAATGCTTGAGGACCAGCAACATGTCCAAACTCTTCTTCCTAGGATGTTCAAAACTTGACAATTCAGTGAACTTATCATTGAGGAACTTCACGAAGTCCTTGCTACGTCCGGGAAAGAAAAAACGGGTTCTAAGAGAATTGGGTGGGTCAGCGATGACAGAGCCAGTCACTCCATTCCAGCCAGTTGTAATCTGGAAAGTACAGTAACAGTAACTCCCAAGAAAACAGGTCTCAATGAACGGACACCCAAGCATCATGACAAGGTAAGCTACACAAAAAAATGTGCTAACACCTCAGTCAAGGTACCAAGCTTCACGGGCTGTTATCCGAGCAGCGTAGCCCGCTCGCAGCTCATCTGTGAAGGTGTCGTACACAACCTGGTCAGATCGTGCCAAAGAAGGACGGAAACCAAATGCCAAGTTCATGCAGGTCTGCCCACTCAAGTTGGATTCCCACTAGAGTCACTATATTTTGGACTCCGTGACAATCCTAGTTTTTCGGCAGGCTGCATCTCAGGAGCAGTAAAGTGAACAACAAAACCGGCAATCTTGGTCTGTGAGCGTGCCTATTCCGGAAAGACCGATACAAATAACACCAGCATAGACCCAGATAGCTAGGCAGAATCCCACGACCTGTTGACATGCGACTGGCTGGAACAAGAATGCACGCAGCTTGCGCAGCCAGCTTACGGCACCTCCACAGCGCGCACAATGACAATCAGCTGACACCAACACCGGTGCACTTTGCCAGCTGACAACACCGGCAGCGGCGCCAGCGCCCGACCAGCGCCGCCGCCCGTCTTAAACGCGCTCAGCCAGCTCACCACAGCAGCCCCTTTCGAAAGCGCGCGCAGCCAGCTCATTCTTATTTGCAGCAAGAAGCCCATAGCTATCCCTATTTGGGGAATAAGTGGGAACAACAACGTATGATCTTGCGCGTCTAAGTTTATGCGCACAAACGCATGCGCGCAAGCAGCAAAGCAGCTCACACCACCCAGCACCAGCACCACAGCCAGCACCAGCGCCCGGCACCGGACCCTGTTTCCACCACACACACACACACACACACCCAGCTCACACCACCCAGCACCAGCACCACAGCCAGCACCCACAGCACCAGCACCAGCACCACCACCCGGCAACCCTGGCACCCACCACCAGCAACCAGCCCCCACCACGCACACGGCCAGCTCACAGCACCAGCACCGGCATCCACCACCAGCACCAGCAACCTGTTTCCACCACGCGCACAGCCAGCTCACAGCACCAGCACCAGCGCCGGCACCCGGCAGCACCAGCAACCACCAGCACCGGCACACGTGCACAGCCAGCTCACAGCACCAGCGCCAGGTGCTGGGTGTCGGTGTTGGTCCTGCTGTGAGCTGGCTGCGCACGTGGTGGAGACAGGTTGCTGGCGCCGGTGCTGGTGCTGGGCGCTGGGCGCCGGCGCTGGTGCTGTGAGCTGGCTGCGCATACGTGGTGGAGTGGTGCTGTGAGCTGACTGCGCACGTGGCGGAGACAGGTTGCTGGCGCTGGTGCTGGGTGCCGGGCGCCGGTGCAGCAACCTGTCTCGAAAGCGCGCACGGGCAACTCATTGTTATTTGAAGTAAGAACCCCATAGCTTCGCTATCTGAGGAAAATATAATACGATAATTATAGTTACATTTAATTACTATGTTAGAATTAGAAGCTGGGCCGGCTTTTCGGGTAACTTGTGAATAAAATATCAGAAGAAATGGACCCCTGATAGGCCATGAGTCATGAGGTGCTCGGGAAATATCAGATCCATGAGGTGAGATGAGATGAGATGGTTCAAGTAAGGACGCTGACATAGAAGTGCGCAAAGTTCAGGCATGAGTATGAAAACACAATATAATAGACGATTCACACGACGATTGAAAATAGCACTAGAAGGCGCAAACCTGCCTACACTACTGGCCAAGAAGTGAATGAAACGATGCGCATGGCGCCCAAGCAAGGCAAGCAAAGGAGGATTCAAGAAACACCAAGAGCTGAGCAAAGAGCCATTCTCTCATGTCTACATTAAAGAAGTCAGCTCACCTTGAAAGCATCATTTCCGGCCTTCTTGGATAGACACAGCATTTCAACGCCCAAGTCCCACGTTCTCGCCCCGGTGAAAAATGCATATATATATATATACACATATTAATATAAGCAAGCTCTGTTTTCCGACAATCGAAAGGAAAGGTCATCCAGTCAACGCCCCATAAACCACCCGCCACAACTGCCTCCTTGGCAGCCATGGCTTCATAGGCTGCAGCTAAGGAGTCTCGGCCACCAGCCTCCATTGCTCTCAATGCATTTTTTTCCATCCTCAGGAAGCAAGGCACCGGCGCCTAGTAGCGATGCCAGGAGCCCCAGTAGCGTCCTTGCTCCGTAGTAGCGATGCCAGCGTCCTTGCTCCTAGTAGCGGCTATATGCCAGGAGGTCCTAGCTTCTTGTTCCTAGTAGTATGGCCAGGAACCTCTTGTTCCTAGTAGCGCTGTGTTCTTTTCTGGGAGGGTAGGCCGTCCCTCAGCGAGAGGAGGTAGCAAGTAGCTTGGAATAAGAACAGGTTCAAGGCCGAACAGGACCACCCGTGGACAACCTACCCACGCCAAAGCGCTCATATTCTTCATCATCGCTGTCTTCGACCTCTTCCTCCATCAGTTCGGCTTTGATGCTTCGGGCCTGGCCGTTCTCCCTTGCGCCAAAGAGGCACAAAAATAGCCTCTCTCCGTCTTACGCGACGACTCTGCCTGCTTAAGAAGCAAGTTCAACTGGAACTGACCGTCAGTCAGTCAGTCAGTCCGTCCATCCGTTGGTTGGCTGGCTGGCTGGTTGGTTGGTTAGATGGTTGGATAGCTTAGATGATTGGATAGTTAGATAAATAAATATTTGGGATAGTTGGATAGATAGCTAGCCCTCACTCACTCACTCACTCACTCACTTCAACACTCACTCACTCACTCACTCACGCACGCACGCACTCACTCACTCACTTCAACACTCACTCACTCACTCACTCACTCACTCACTCGGGAGGGGAGGGGAGGGGAGGGGAGGGGAGGGGAGGGGAGGGGAGTGGAGTGGGGTGGAGTGGAGTGGAGTGGAG